GTATTCTTCACCAACACCACAACTCAAAAACATCAACTGTCTTTGGTCTTCCTTATTGATTGTCCAGGTTTCACATGCATATGAGGCAATTGAAAACACCATGGCTTGGGTTAAGTGTACCTTAGTCTTCAAAGAGACAACCTTGCTCTTCAGCACTCTTGTAGCAGATTTACCCAGCGCAATATGCCATCTGATTTCTTGACTGCTACTTCCTTGGCGTTGATTGTGTAACCAAGGAATATGAAATCGTTGACAGCTTCAATGTTTTCTCCATTTATTGTGATGCTGCTTATTGGTCCAGATGTGAGGCTTTTCGTTTTCAGTGAAACACTGTGTGATATATTACTGGAAATGATTGGGTGAGACTATGCTTGTGGTCAGCATTGCTAATAACGCAAATAAGGTACATGAAACTCCTACTGGTGGGCCATGCAAATAAGGTGTATGGCACCCTAATGAGGGGATTGGTCACTTTTGCCATCCTGCTAGGCTTAAAATGAGCCATCCCAGAAGCTAGGAGACGGGAAACTTACTACCACCAAAAAAGAAGAGCCAAGAGTGGAGCATGTCCTATGGATCCCAGGTTCCTGTGCTAGGAACCTCCTGGACTTATGAGACAGAGAGACAGCTGTAACACTGGAGATGGTGCAAGACAGCAAGCAGCAGTGACAGAGAAGTGGCAGCAGCAGAACCAGGAAAACAGCACAAGATGGTGCAGTGGGCTTCCGAGCCCATGGAGATAGGTGGCTATGGTGGATGTGCCGACCCTCAGAGCAAGTGAGCTGAGTGCCTTTGGGGTAAGAGGTTTCCTGGCAGAGTGGGGCTCTTCCAGGCACTTGACAGAGCTAAAGAGCTTTGTAACATTTGGCTGAGCAGGGCAGAGTCCAGGCCTTTGCAAGGGATAGAGGAGGGCCAAGAACTGAGAGAGGAGGCCTGTCCTCAGAGGACTGAGAGAAGCCTGTCCTCAGGAGGATGAAAGGAACGCTGCATGGCCTAGAGGAACTGAGTTAGCTGTCCTGCACTGAAGAAGGAAGACTTTGCCAATGTACTTTCTGATCCTGATCCTAAGTTGTAACCCATTACTTCCTTAATAAACCCATATCTGTGAGTATGGTCTGTGAGTTTCTGGATGACCATTACAACAAATTATCAAACCCAGCAGAGAAGTAGAGAGTGCCCTGGGTGGGGTGGCTAGTGTCAGAATTGGTAAAATGGTTGGAGGGCAGAGGTATGTCCCACCTCTACCTCCTAGGAATCCTCAGTTTTGGGTGGATATTGATCTTGAGTCTCTCACCCCCTTGTGAAGTTAGACAAGGAGGTCAGACAAAGCTGCCACACCATCAGTACAGATGATGATTAAGGGAGTCTTGTACATAGCTAATATCATACTATAATTGTTTTGAGAGTTATTTGTTAATTACTTCTCTCATACTTACCTAATGGACCTTTTGAGGAAAAGCCATATTTAATGTGAAAATTTTATGTAATTAAAAATATTTGATAGTGCCTGATGGAACCACTGAGACTATGGCCCCTAGCTGCCCTTCAGGTCTGGGATTGAACCCACACCTGTGGTTTCCAGACAAACAAAGTACAGGCATGTGAGTTAAACATTTACCTCAAGTAGACACACTCCCTGGAGAGAAAAATCATGGGAGAAGGAAGGGCTGCTTATGCACAGGGAGACAGCTCAGGGGGCAGGAGAGTATAGAGGGATGGACACTGGGAAGAGGTAACTATGGGGAGGAAGTGGGAGGGAGCTGTTGCATTGTGGTAAACTGTGGTCAATTTAATGCGACAAAGTATATGTGAACTGCTGTATGAAAAGCGAATTTGCTCTGTAAATCTTTACCCAAATCACAATAAATAATAAATTAAAAAAAATATATTTGAATAAGGTCTGTTGATTAGAGGTGACCTGGTGGTGCAGCAGTTAAACACTTGGCTGCTAATTGAAAGATCAGAAGGTTCCAACCCATAAGCCACTCTGTGGGAGAAAGAGGTGGCAAACTGCTTCCATAATATAACCTTGGAAACTCTATGGGGCAGTCCTGCTTTGTCAAAATCAAATAAACAGCAATGGGTTTGATTTGGGTTCTGGTTTCTGTTGATTAGTTAATATTATTGTATCTACATAAATTTTCTAGTTTTGAGACTTGTGCTCTCAATATATAATATATTAACTTTTGAGGAAACTGGGTGAAGAGCATAAAGTAATTTTCTGTACCATATTTTGAAGCTTTTGTAAGCTGAAATTATTTCAAATGAAAAGTTAAACAAAATTTTTTAATACTTTGAAAGGGTAATTCACAGGGTTTGGCAGTCTACCCATAATTTGTGCCTTGAGGGCCTAGATTCAGGAAAAAGTACCTCTTCTGCCTCTCTCATTTGTTGAAAAAGTGATGAAATCCATTGTCAGTCAGATGAAATAGTGAATATGAAGGTCTTTGCTAGAGTAAACTTCTACACAAATTTTAATAGTAATAATTATAGTCCCCAGATGGAGGACTATAAACGAAGAGGAAAGCAAGCCATTATACTACATATCCTACCCAACACTCTTCAAGGAGTTTGCAAAATGCAATGCTTAGAAATTGCTGCCCTGGCGATAGAAAACAAGGAGTCATTGAAGAGTTTTGAGCAAAGTAGGCATAAAACAGCAGTCATACTTTAGGAAGAGTCACCATCAAGCTTTTGGTACACAGGATAGATGAAGTGGGAAGAGACTGGAGTCAGCAAATCCCACTAGGAGTTATTCTAGTAATGGAGGAAGTGGGATGACCCTCTTTGAGTGGGTCTGGGAAGGAAGAAATGGACATGATAGGCATTTTGAAGGAGTCATTGGTCTGGGTGGGACTAGACTGGAGATGGGGGTGGAAAGAAAGATATGACTCAGTAAATACTTCAAGTGTCTCGCCATGATGACTAGATGACTGGGGCAATGCTGATGTCACTGAGAAACAGATGGAAATGTTAAGGAAAGAGATACCATAGAGCATGAGTTGCAAACTGAAGTGGCTCCAGGGGCCAGGCAGGTGCAAAGTAGAGAAGACTTGCAGTGCGGGCCCTGAGACTGGAAGGCTTGCCTCTCTGTAGGGGCTGCCTCAAAGGGAATAGCCACTGCTGGGCTCCAGCAGTTCATTGCTGTGTGGGAATGTACTTGTAGTGTTAACAGATTTTCCAGTTTTGCAAGGGAAGTCAGAAATCCAGATTTCTTGTGTAAAATCTCTTAACTCCTTCTTGTTAGCTACTAATTTTTGAAAAATTTTAAAGCAGAATATGTCACACCAAACACATCTGTGGACCAGATTTGGCACAGACTATGAAACCGTGAACCCTGATAGAAAAAGGCAAAGGTCAAAGTTCATCAACTGTCATGGTGATACATAAATAGGGTGGCAAGTTACTCTAATGGGGTTCCATTAACTAAAATACTACAAGTAAAGCTTTTGCCAGCAATCTGAGCTGTATAAATGCCACAACCTTTCAAACCTATACAGTAATTTGAATTTGTACAAGAAGTTTAATCTAATCTCCAAATGGTTAACTGACAAGAATTTGAATGCTTATTGTGTGCTGAGTACACAGAAGTCAAGGAATTTCAAATCTAACTGGAGAAGCAAAAAAAAAAAAAAAAAAAACCATATGCCCTGCTGAAATAACTTGAGACAATTTATGAAGCAACCAGGGAGATTACATTCTTCATATTATGCTAGAATCTCAAAGAGGTCTTAAATCAATTAATTCTATTGAGCAAACTTTGCCATATAGCTTGTGTGTGTGAACTTGAATGTGTAACCAGAAATCTGATTTCCCGGGCAGTGGTTACAAAGCGCCAGCCTCTCATTGCCCAAGGGTATTCTTGCCTCAGCGTGGGAGGGGAATGAGCTAGGCTTGGGGGTACACGGACTTCCCGAAGGGCGGCTGGGCGTGGCCACAGAGAAACCGCTCCCTGTCAGGTTTCGCCGCTGGAATCCCGGTCTTTGTTTCTGTCATTACTCCTTAAGTGTGTGTGTGTGTAGGAGAAAGGCGGGCACCAAAATAGAAAGTGTCAAAGTGATTATGACAATGAGGATAAAAACAAGGCAGAACTTTTCTTATGTCCCATCTAGCTCCCTCAAGCCTGTAAGCCAGTGCACCTCCTCCCCGCTCTCTTCAAAGAGAAACTCTGGTGGGGCAGGAAGCCCGCGGCTCTGGTTGCAGGTCCTCCTAGGAGAGCGGCGATTTCCTCTCAGCGGCCCCGAGTTATCCCTAGAGCCGCACAACAGCCTCAGAAGAGCGCGTTCTCTCCCCCACCTCGTCCTTCTCAACCCACCCACCTACTTCCTCTGGCTCCATATACACACCACCACAGAGCTGCCAAAAATTTCCACCCTCCGCCCCCCTCCCTAGCTAACTTCCTTCCAGCGTTTCCTGAGCTGGATGATCCTAGGATTTGTAAGACAGGAAAAAAAGGAAGGCGTGAGGGCGGGCAAGGGAGACAGGATGCTTGTTTTTCGTTTTACCACAGCCGTCTGAAGGCAAGACAGTGGGCCCGGGGAGAAGACCCACGGCAGCCCCTGGGCTGGCTCCTCGCCCCTGGCCGCTCGTCCTTTTCTGAACATTTACAAAGGCGGAAAGGAGGTCTCTCTCCTCCCACTGAAACACAGGAAAAGCCCCCGAAGACACGGCAGGAGCCTGCGAAAGTCCCTAGGACTCCAAGTGAGGAAGTGACACTTCCAAGCTAGCCGAACCGCAACTGCCAACTCTGCACGGCCTCCCCACCGCGGCCCTGGACGAGCGCGAGGTGGATTTCAAGCTCCGCTCGCTCTGCTACCGGCCCCGGGCGCAGCGCCCCGCGGGGTTCAAGTGCGTTACCCGCGTCCCGGGTTCTTGTGGACGCCCATGCGGCCCTCTGGAGCCACGCTGCAGCCAGTGAGCTAACCCGGGAGACCATCTCACGCGCCGTTCCAAGTAGAGGGGAGGGGGAGACGGAGGGGCAACCTCTTTGGGACTAACTCATGAAGAACAAGGGTGCCAAGCAGAAGCTGAAACGAAAAGGAGCCGCCAGTGCGTTTGGCTGTGACCTGACGGAGTATCTGGAAAGCTCGGGACAGGATGGTAATGTGACTTTTTTTTTCCTATTTTGTTTGACGGGGAGATGCACTCTCTTGTGTATGTTAGATTCATTTTGTAAGTTAAGTAAATCCAGGCCTGTGCGTTCTTATATATATTTATTTAAGAACGTACTTAACTCTTACGGTGCACAGCGCTGCCACGCTGACGTGCAGAGGCAGTGGCAGTCTTTGGGTTTGTCTCTCAAACAAGCAGTTACTGCGAGGTGCTGCTACAAGTTTAACCAGCTATCTCTGGGGGTGAGAGTGGGAGCTAGAGAGGACCGGCCGGATCCAAAACTTTGGTTGTTGGAGGGAAGAATGTGGGATGGCTATCTGTGGGCTTCCCTGGGCGCATACTTATGACCGCCTTAGGTATCCCTCCCTGGCTTCAATTTCAATCGCTCACATCTTTTTTATTAATGTGCTGGAAGGAAGGAGCGGCGGTCCTGGCTGGGGGAGTGGTTGCAAAAACATTTTCTGAATTTCTGAGCTAATGCCGAATATATATAGTATCTCCCTCCTCCCCCTCCCCATTCCCAGCCCCCCACCCACCCAAACCCTTAACCTCCTCTTGCTTTCATTTGGTGAGTCAGACAAGAGGAGTGTTGTAAAAAGGTCAGAGGGCCTCGATTTTAAAATAGTTTGGGCTATGTATAAAGGAAAGGAGTTTTCAAGGTCAGATTGAAAAACAGAAGGGGGGGGTGTCTCAGGAAAGTAGAGGCAATTTAAAGATTTATTGGGGGTGGGGAAAGGAAAACAATCTAGAACAAAATAACAGCATTTGAGGTTACAAGTTTCAATCATCGGAAAGTTGGGAAAATTGAGCATTAAATGACTCCTTTTGTAAGGTTGACTGGCTTGCACTTACCCACCACAAAAAGGCCTTGTCTCAGAAGCTTCAGTGAGAGAGAAAATAGTCCAGTATGTGTGCTGGTGTGTTTGTACATAGATAGATACAACAAAGGGGGTAATTTAAGTGCTGTTTAACTGTGCAGAATAATTCTGCCTCCAGGAAAATAATCTCAGAAACTATTTGATTAGTGTATATCAAATGTGCATCTCACAACAGTGTGATGCTTTTGTTTCGCTTCCTTTTTTTTTAGAGATTGAGCACGACCTAGTAATTTGTAGTCGTGTGATATTCCTGTGGTGTTCTGGAGTTCAGAGTCTGCTGTGTCATTAGGACAAACGGTTTAGTATTTTCCAGCTTGGGGCCACAGGTTTCACAACTGCCTCGTTTGAAATTGAGGCATAACAGAGTCAATTCATGTCATGCTCACCAACAATCTTAGGCAGATTTGAAATAAAATTGCTTTGATCGAGTTGGTGTTTGTTTGTTTGTTTTTGAATTGGAGAGAACTCCAACCACTACCCTCAGAAGTTGAGAATGAAAAGTTTTCCTCCACCTGTTTTTGCCGGGCCTTCAGGTTAGGGCCAGGTACAATATGAATGCTGCCTGGATGCCACTTTCCCCCATATGGTTGTTACTCTATACCCTCCCTCCAAGACTGAGAGAGTTGCTTGGGGGTGCTTGCCAATTCTTAGAGCATCTTACTTCACCAAATGCTCTGGCAACTCCAGGGCTCTGTGTAGATAGCTCAAGGGTAGTTTTAGGCAGCTCTTTTTTCACCTGCTTTATATTGTGAGTTTCTGCATAAGCTTCATTTAAAATATAAAGAAGAAGGCTCCCACTTAAAGGAAAAAAAAAAAAAATGAAGGCAAACCAATGGCTGGCACTGCCTATCCTGGGGAAGAGGAGAGGAAGCCCAAGGAGGTAAACTGGACTGCCTGTGATCATGCAGTTAATCAAGAAGGATACTGAGGGGGCTGGCCTGATAGGCTCCTCTCTCCTTTCTGGCTTCCATATCTAAGCCAACATTCTCCTCTAATGATTTTTTTTCTCCTAAATTGAAACCAGACAGCCCTGCTACAGGATCAGCAAACTTTCAAAACTGAACATACCTGAATAGAATTCAGTTTTGAAATGAAAGAAAAGTCACCTGCTTAATGATCCACACACCCTATTGTGCTGCATGGAAATTAGAGTAATTGGGGATTTTTTTTCCCCCACAGCTAAATCTAGTTGGATAGTTTTCTCTTATTTTTGTTATTGAGAGCATCAGTAGACAAAGCCATTGCTAAAGGTTTTCTCTAAACCAATATATCCTAGTCTTGAACTTTCCCAAGCATCTATCAGTTAATAGACATGACCTGTACTCTGCTTCTAAGGAGCTCTGGTGGAGTAGTGGATAAGGCATTTATTTGGCTACTACCCAGAAGGTTGGGAGTTCAAACCTGCCAGCTCCACAGGAGGAAAGTGAGGCAATCTAATTCCATAATTATTTATAGCTTTTGAAACCCAACAGGGGTTGCTGTGAGTCAGAATTGACTCTATGGCGGTGGGTTTTCGTACTTTGCTCCTAGGGAGATAAAGCCAACTTGACCACTGCCCCTTTGACCACCATCTTGGAAGATCAGCCTAAATTCCTGAGGCTAACAAGTCAGCATGGTAACTAGGAGCCAAGAGCTGAGATGGCTTCAGAAGACTGAGATTATGGTTACTAAATTTGGGGATCAAAGGCAGGGCAATGAACCTGAGTAGAAACAGAGAAAAATGGATTCAGCTCTGGGAGCACCAGGGCAGAGGGAGGCGGTGCGGTGGCATAAGAGATACTCTGACTTCACAAGGAAAAGAGAAAATCACCTTCAACATCAGCTAAAGGCTGATTCCTAAGAGGCAGAGGTCAGACATACCTCTGTCTTCCAAACTTTTTACCAACTCTGACACCAGCCATCTCTCCTCCCATCATACTTTGTACTTCTCTGCTAGGTTCAACAATTCACTGTCATGGCCACACAGAACTCACAGACTGTATTTACAGTTACGGCGTTTATTAAGGAAGTAACAGGTTACAGTTCAGGATCAGGAATGACTCAGGACATGGTTCTTTGCTCAAGACAGTTTATCAGCAGTGCCCAAAGGCAGACCTCTCATCTCTTGGCCCCCCGGCCTGGTCTTTGCTCTGCTTGGGCAAGTGTTACAAAGCTCTTTAGCTCTGCCAGTAAGTGCACAGAGGCACCCAACTCTTCCAGTAAGCCTCAGGCAAAAGGCACTCAGTTCTTTATTCCTTGGGTTGGTGAGCCTAGCTCCACCAAGTGATTGAAGGCACCCTACTCTACTAGGAAGCCCCCTGGCCAAAGACACTCAGCTCTCTTGCTCTGTGGGTTGGCACACCCAGTGTAGCCTCCTTGCTTCACGGGCCGGGAAGCCAGGAAGCCCAGTGCACCATCTTGTGCTAGTCTCCTAGTTCTGCTGTCTCCATTTCACTGTCACTGCATCTCACTGTCTTGTGCCGTCTCCAGTGTTACAGTTCTCTTACTTTCTTTCTATCTCCTGAGTCCAGGAATTTCTCAGTGCAAGGACCTCGAGTCCAAAGGATATACTCTGTACTCTTGTCTCTTCTTGATGGTAGTGAGATCCACCTTTTTGCTCTGGGATTGGCTCTCTTGTAAGCCTAGCAGGATGACAAAACTGACCAATTTCCTTGTTAACCTTCCACACACCTTATTTATATGGTCCCATCCAAACATTGTGAGAGTTACAAAACTATGACAAGAAAAGCCATATAAAAATGATCCATCACACCACAGAAACAAACAGGACCCCTGGGGTTGGGCAGAGAGGGAAAGCCAAAACTGGAGAGGAGAGCTAAATAGATGACAATTAGCTATCCTCAGGCCATCTGGACATAGGGAAGAACACCCCTGAGAGGAAATAGGCTGAGCATGAAGGATGTATGCCATCCACATCCGTAATTTTCTGATGTCCATCCCTGTAAACTTCACGTGAATATATCTGGTGGGGCAGGGGATGTGGGTGGCAAACGGTATGAAGCTTAGATTGACATTGCCTAGAGCCAGGAGCTCCGGTAGCGTAGTGCCTAAGGCACCTGACTGCTAACCAGAAGGCTGGTTGGGCAATCTACTCCCATAGTGATACTGTCTCAGAAACCCAAGGAGGGGTCGTTGTGAGTCAGGTCCGACTCGATGGCAAATAACAACAACAAGAGCCAGGTGTCCTTAATGTTTAGGAAGCTGATGGAAAATAGGAGCCCCTTCCCTTAGAAAAATGCACACACAAAAACTGTTATCTTTTCTGCAGGCATCCACATAGATACCAAGTTTAGACCCTCTTTAGGTCATACTCAGCTTCATACAGTCCTGATGTAAGGACCCACTTCTCCTTCTGCTTCTTTGACCAAATTTCTCCAGTCCGGTGAGAAAACCCAAGAATGGTATGAATTCAATACTAGCAGAGTTGGCAGGAGCCTCTTTCGCTTATACTGCAGCACATGGCTGCTGCCCCCAGCCTCTAGCTTTCCCCCAGGAATCAAATAACTTTATCTTCCTATCTGGAAGAGAGGGAGATCATCCCTTTCTTACTGCTGCTGATGAAAAAGGTATAGTTTTCATTTTGACCACTGAATACCGAAGGGCCTTGCTTACATCCATGTAACAAAACCTCATCATTATGTTGCTTGTGGTTCAGAGGCTGTGGGTGAACCCCTGTGAGGCCAGAGTGTGTCCATGAACATTTTTCTTACCTTTCCCCCATGAACTCAGTGTTCTGGGTCTTTTAATAGTGCTTGGAGATGCTGAGACCAGGAGTCAAGGGTCATGTAAGACAGTTATCAAGAATACTATCTTTTTCCTCCTTCCAGGACTTACTTTAAGGGCTGAGGACATCCTCACCTTTCTAAACAACCTTTGTCCATTTCACCCATTCCCTGGTAAAAGTGACGTTGCTCTGGCCCAGTGGTTCTCTTTCTGGCTCCACATTGGCTTCACCTGGAGTGCTTTAGGAAAAAAAAAAAAAGCTTATGTCCAGTTCCCTTCTCAATGAAATCAGAACCTTTTGGTGCCCAGTCCTGGGTATGTTTTAAAACTTTCTTAGATGATTCTTATATGCAGGCAGGGTTGAGAACACAAATGCAGGGGCTTAGC